GATCCTGTGGCTCTCTCTTTGGAGAGTCAGGGAAGCGCGGAGCTCACCGCCATCCCTGCAATGGCCTTACCGCGCCGCCACCGCCTCCTCCGCTCTCGGCTTCCCGTCATTTCCGCGATCTCCGGTGCTATTCTCTTCCTCTTTGCTCTCCTTTCCTTTCTCGTTCCTACGCCCATGTATTCGGATCAGTTCCACCGCACTCACTCTGTACTGTCTCTGTCCCTCCATATACTTTTATCTTCTTGTTTATTTAATTTTGTTTGTTGTTATATTTTTTTTAATTTCTGGTTATTTGCAGTTAAGTTTAGGAACTAAGGATGAAATTCAAATTCGAGATTCAATGTTTCATATTCCGGTTAGGATGAACCATCTTTCTTTTTTTTTCTTTTTTTCTTTTTTTTTTTTGGAATTTATTGTGATTTTATTGGATCTTAATCGATACAATTTAATTGAGGTTCTGGTTTTGAGCCCTAGAGTGGCGGTGGGAAATTAGATCGTGATATTTGGAGTTCGGGAAATTCTAGATTCTTTTATGGATGCAGTAACGCCAGCAGCAAGTTTGCAAGTACATTACTTTTTTCACTTTGTGGGACTTTGATTGCGTGTTTATAGATTTTGTCTTAAGACATGTTCAGTACAAGATGGATTACCTTTTGATAAACCTGCTGGATTGGTGGAATGGTACGGATTGATGTGAGCTATAGTCAAAATACTGTTGAAATTTCTCCATTGCCACTTTGCTAAAAACAAAGCTTGACTAGAAAAATGTCTAGTAATTGTTGTTCATGCTAGGGAAATTAGGGGTTTTGCAACTTCTACAGACAAAGCATGAATGGAAAAGATGTCTAATTCAGTAAAAAAAGAAAAATTAATAGTTTTGATTTGAAATGTGTTGTCCGTATTGCAGAAGCAAAAGCAGAAGATTACGGTAAAAAAAAAGTTAATAAGTTAATAGTTTGCTGACAGTTTCCTCTACTTTTCTTGGTTTGGTGGAATTCTTGTTTTGATTTGAAACTTGTTGTTCATCTTGCAGAAGCAGAAGCTGTTACACGTGCCAATCGATTCTTGGCAATTGCAACTAGTGGAGGCTTGAATCAACAACGAACTGGGGTAACTTTCCAAGCTTTCTTGCACAGTACTTGTGTATATTACTGGATGCATGTATAATTATTCAAGCATGGATCCTTTAATTAGAAGTCTGAATTTAAGGCTACTTTTCTTGATCTAAGGATATATAAGGTCCATAATAGTGGTACTCAACATAATCTTTATATTATTAAATAGTCCCTTTTTTTTTTTGTTGCAAGTGAGCTTATAAATTCTGTATGGGATTTGATAAATTCATTGCAATTTATGCTTCATTTTGTGGCCTTAGTTGGTGCATATGTTGTATAAACAGAGCAGAAAATAGTTAGAGGAACTAAGGTTCGACAAGCTACTTGCTTGTTGATAAATTTGGCAAGTAGCACACTTTATTTGGTTACAAACTTGAAATATGGGGAATGCTCACCATCTTCTACAAGCTGGAAATTGGAATTTTGATAGTTTACCATCATGCTCCAAGCTGTTCCCTAGAACACTGATTTGAGCTTTGTTCCTATGTATGTCTTGTGAGCAGTGATTGGATCATAGTGTTGTTGTTATATTGATGCTGTTATGTAGTATTTTTAAGTTTTTTTGTTATTGGTGTTAAGTTTACAATAAAAGCCTTTGGCAGATTGTAGATGCTGTTGTTGCTGCCCGTATTTTGAATGCTACTCTTGTTGTTCCTAAGCTGGACCAAAAGTCTTTTTGGAAGGATTCAAGGTTAGTTTTTGAATGAACTCATGTTTGTGCCTCTGCAATTTGAAGTTGCAATTTTATGTGTCTATTAAGATTGAAATGGAGAAAGTGCTTGTGTAAATTCTTATACATCCTTTCTCTGTCACATGCAGTGGCTTCGCAGATATCTTTGATGTCTATTGGTTCATATCATTTCTGTCAAAAGATGTTAAAATCATAAAGCAGCTTCCTAGAAGGGGAGGAAAATCTTGGATTCCACACACTATGCGTGTTCCAAGGAAATGTAGTGGAACATGTTACAAAAATCGTGTATTGCCTGTTCTTTTGAAAAGGCATGTAAGTTTCCTGTTCTTTAAAACTTTTCTCTGATCAATTTCAAATGTAGTACATTTTGCTTTCATCTTTCTCCATCCCTTTTTGTCCTTTCTTGTCTTCTTGACTTCAATATTCATGTAGATGCTCCTATTCATGTGCTGTCAAACAGGCCATACAGCTCACCAAGTTTGATTACAGACTTGCAAACAAATTAGATACAGACATGCAGAAGTTAAGATGTAGAGTTAATTACCATGCTTTGAGGTTCACTGATCCTATTCTTCAATTGGGTAAAATGCTTGTAAATCGAATGAGGTTGAGAACCAAGCATTATATTGCCCTGCATTTGAGGTAAGTCTCACAATATTCTGCTCCAAGTTTCTTGGAATTCCATACTTATGACCATGTTTACATCACATGGGTTTACCAATCATCGTGCCATAAATCATGGCAATGTACAAACATACCTCTGTAACTAAACGCATGACTCTATTTTCTTTATTTACATGGCACATCATAAATGACAGGATCACCATTGAGTGGATACATATGTGCTGTTGTAAGTGTTTGTCATGCATGATTTTTGAAGCAAGCCTTCAACCCATTATTCTGCATGATGATGTCGTGAAACTACTATGGCTAGTGACTGCATTATGATGTAGGACAAGCTTTTTCAATCAAAAAATTAACAAAGGAAGATGAGCATGAGTATGAGAGAAGGATTGATGCAGCAATATTTTGTTACAGGTTTGAACCAGATATGCTTGCATTCTCAGGATGTGATTATGGTGGAGGTGAAAAGGAAAGGACTGAACTAGGTGCAATTCGTAGGAGGTGGAAAACTTTACATGTAAATAACTTATAAAATCTACATACAATTTCAGTATTGGTTTGGTTCATTTGAAAAGTAGAAGCAAAAAACAAATATATATTTTTTATAATTTGCAGAAAACAAATCCTGATGGGCAAAGGAGGCAAGGAAGATGCCCGCTCACTCCAGAGGAAGTAGGTCTGATGCTGAGAGCACTAGGATATGGAAGTGATGTCCACATCTATGTGGCATCTGGTGAAGTGTATGGAGGGGAGGAAACATTGGCACCTCTGAA